TCAAGACATCACGATTGGCAATACACAGGAACCTGTTTCAAATAATTTCAGTCTACCCAGAAACTCTTCATGTTTTTTTTTCACATAAAACCCCACTCCTTGTTACTCCAAGTTTTCTTCATTTTGTTGGTATAATTTAAGGCAGGAGGGGGTATCATTGTGCTGTTGATATTCTTAAAACAATGTGATTTTGGAAATCCTTGATCTACTGTAAATCATCTACCTTCTTGCCCACACGTGCTATAAACAAATTGGATACTACAGACCTGAGGCATCACGTTTAAAATGATGCAGACATTTCACAATCAACTGATCACTCGCAGTCAGTCACTTCAGACAATCTGGTTATTAGAAGATGAGAAATGAAATGTGCAGGAAGGAAAGAGAGGTATGTGTGTCTCTGTGTTTGTTACACAGTTGTCAGTTGATCCGAGACTCTCAAATGATGTAGGAAATTGAAATAAAATACATGTCTAACGGTGCATTTGGCAGCAAAGCTGGCATAGCTTGGCTGGCCAGCAGGCAGTTCTGACAAGTTATGCAAAGAGCATGGGGCCTCTTCCAGTCTCTGCCAGCCCCTAAAGGAAATGAGCCAAAGCACCCAGAGGTAGTTTCACCAATCTTCCTTTGAGTCATTATAAAGAAGGTAAAATATAGATAGATGACTAGATGATAATAAATATTCCATGCATTTAATATTGACAAACCCGGTAAGGATGGTTCTAGTACTGTACATTTGGATTTTGTGTTGGTACCCTCTTAACACCACCATGTGTAAAATAGCTATTGTTATGGGAAGGGCTGTATGGGAAGAGCTCATGAGAACCAAGAACCAGAAGGTTTGGATGGCAGCATAGCAGGCTACCTGCCTTTTCTGTAATTTAAGTGTATCGCCCAAATGCCCTCCACCTTACATGGAACCAGAAGGTTTGGATGACAGCATAGCAGGCTATCTGCCTTTTCTGTAATTTAAGTGTACTGTATCGCCCAAATGCCCTCCACCTTACATGACTCGAGAGGCATTGCAGTATGTAAAGGAGGCACTCAAAGGCGAATGCAAATGTCTTCCTCACCACCAGCCAGAACTTGGAAACCTTAGTTTTTTTGGGGATTTTTTACTACAACTCCCAGAACCCCCAGACAGCCTGGACCCTGGAGAGTTCTGGAAGCTGCAGCCCAAATTCTGTTTCCAGCCCAGGGGGTGAGCGGAGAATCCGCGCAGCACCTGTGGTGCCTCACAAGTTACTTCATAGGAAGAGGCATAACTTAAGTCATGCCCTTCTCTAGTTGCCACTTATTGGGGACTCTGCAGCCTGACAAAATCCGCATAAGGGACTCCCCTCGGTAACTGGAAGGCGAGGGACACCTTTCATGGGAAGCGGAAAGCCTACCCATCCCTGACTAGCAGCAACTCTTCCCTGCTTATTTTTTCTGTCTTTCCCTCCCTCAGGTTAGGGGGATACTTCTTTTATTATTTTAAGTACAGAAGAAAGCTAACAAGGGCAATGGCGTGGATTAAAGCGCATGGCCCCAGCGGCACCCTTTTGCCACAGCCATTCATCCTTGAAACGGAAAGCCCTAATGTTCTGCACAGACTATTATGCCGATAGCCAAGGCGTTTCAAGGAAGTTGTCAAGGCACCTTTGTCAGAATTGCTACAGCTGGCCTGCTCTTAAAGGAGCAGGGGTCATTACACATAAAGACCAAGGGATGTCATAAGGGAAAATGGATGCAAATCAGACCATATGACCTCTTCTGTCACATACTCCTGATGGGCAATTAGGGTTCATTGAAATTCAGCACACAAGCTTGTCAGAGGAGCCAGGCTATGGCCTAACAAGCAGGCTAAGGCCAGTGGGGGCTCCTGATCTACACCAGACGCATCTCTTTAGCCAGTCCCAAAGCACAGCTTGGTGCTCTTCAATCATCTTGTCAGCATTTTTAAAAGCTTCCATAGAGTTTTCCCCATTTCCGTCAGCTCAGTTTCTTTCTTAGAGGAGTTCAGGACATTCTTGAGAACAGACTTGCATGAGCCATCTCCTAGAGGCCGGAACCAAGGAGACCAAATTAATCTTTTTGCCTTTGGTTTGCTTCTGTATAACATAGACCTGTGTGGGCAATGTGGGAGGTGTCTGCCCTGTGCATCAGAGCAGACCAGAGGGTTGGGGTGGGGTGAGTGGCAATTGTCCATAGGTATCCCATCCACATCAGCAGGCCCACCACATTTTTGAGCTCAGTCTTAGAGTGTTTGGACTTGATGGTGGGGCTAAGGGGTAGATTTTGGTTTAGTAGTGGTGTACCATCTCCCAGCACTCTTCCTGCTGGGACTGGCTGAGTTCATTTCGGTGGCGGTGTTGAGGTCACCCAGACTATTGATCTTGATATATTGAATCTGAACCATTGGGTCCAGCCTTGGGATCATGGAATTCATGACTTCCATGAACCTATCACACATGTCATTGGCCCCACACATAAAGTGGGTCAGACTCCGGACCTTGTCTGCAGAGGCAGAGGGTGACCTGAAGGTGTGGAACATGAGTTCCCTCCCACTGTCATGGACAGATCACTTCCTGTTGAGATGTAACTTGTCGATGGCGACCTCCCCCCTTTCCATGGGGAGAATGGACCTATTAAAATGATCCTCCCTCTGAAACGTCTTGTCACAGATGGGTTTGGGGAGGCCTTGGTGGGTATCTGGTGAGCCTGGCTGGTGATCTTGTCAAAGCCCAGGTCAATAGATGCTATGCAGAGATGACCTGGGTGGTTGATGTGATCACGCCTTCTCCACTTCAGAGCTTATCCTGCCGGGGAGCTTCAAGCTATGATATTGAATGAATCAATACTTTATTACGGTCAAAGACCAGTAAAACCAAATCAATATAAAATACATACACATTATATTAGCTAGGAGACAACTGGAGAGTAGGTGGAGGAAGGATCGGTCGGATCAAAACATGGCTGCAGTTAAGGCTCTGACCAGGAGGTATGCCAATGCCTTAAGACTGGTGAAAAAGGCATTCAATATTAAGATCATTCTGTGAACTGACAAGCCTCATCCTAGTGATTTCACCAGTGACCAATTTGCAGCCTTTCTTAAACCTAAAATTGAGGCCAACCTTACTGATCTTGACTCCACTAGCAGTTTGGTTGATCAGGTAGAGATTGTCACTGCACCTTTTCCCTCTGTCCAATTGGTTCAGTTTGACCCTGTAATATTGGAGGAATTATCCAGGGCATTGACTAGCTGTAGGCCTACGGCCTCTGTGTGGTTAATAAAAACTGCCAACAGGGCTATAATCAACTGGGCCATGAATATTGTGAATGCTTCACTGAGGGAGGGATGCCTTCCCTCACATGTGAAAGAAACCATTATATGGCCCATTATTTTAAAAAAAACATTTGTTGGTGGATAATCTCAACAACTTCAGATCAATCACCAACATATCCTTAATGGACAAGGTGATCAAGTAAGTGGTGGCAGAGCAGCTCCAGACATACCTGGAGAAGCATGACAAATTCAAAGGAGGCCGACAGGGCAGGATTTGGTGCTTCTGGATCTCTCAGTGGTCTTGAATACTGTTGACCACAATATCCTCCTGGAAAGGGTCTTAGAGGTGGACTCCAATCCTTCCTTGACGGCCGTGTCCAGTGATTTGGGCATGAGTATTTGCCCCCCAAGAACCCATGATTGAGGGGTGCCCTGGGGTATGTCAACATCCTCAATGCTTTTTAACAATATAAATGTTGGGGGAGGTCATAAGGAGATTTGGAGTAAGATGTCATCAACACTCTTATAATACACAATTCAATCTCATTTTCAACAACTGCAATGGATGTTGTCCAAATGCTTGAGCACTTCCTGGCTTCAGTCTTGGAATGGACTGGGGTCGACAATGTCAAACTGAACCCAGACAAGATGGAGATTCTGCTTTTGGGATGTCCCTAAGACACGTTGGGTGGATTACCCCTAGGTTGGTTGACGTTGTCCTCCTGGTTGGGAATCAAGTCCATAACCTGGGCATGCTTCTCATCCTGGCTCTATCTTGGGATGCCCAAATTGCAGCCATGTCCTGTGCGGGCTTTAATCAGTTGAGACTTATCAGCCAGTTCACTCCCTACCTAGATGAGGGAACCTTCTGTATGCTGGTGCATGCATTGGTCATCTCCTAGACTGACAACTGCAATGGGGCTAAGCCGGAGACCACAGAAGTTCCAGAAAGTAGTGGCCAGACTGGGGCCAAGTGTGAGCAGGTTTGATCACATCTTTCCACTTCTGGCTCGCCTGCACTGGTTAACTGTTTTGTCCCATGTCAGGTTCAAGGTTTTGAAGTTTGCGGATAAAGCCCTGCAGACTTTGGGACTATGTTACTTGTCAGAGTGCCTTTTCCCAAGGTCATTCACCCACTTCATGAGATCCTCCCAGGCAATGTTCCTCTGGGCGGCTACCCCAAAGGAGGCCAGGAAATCATCCATGAGAAGCTGGGCCATCTCCACTGTGGCACCAACACTCTGGAATCAGTTCCCAGTTGAGTCTGACTGTTGTTTTTATTTATCTTTCTATTGTCCATGTTTGTGTCTTTATTTTATCATGCCATAAACTACCCAGAGAAGCACTTTGCACTAATTGGATGTGATACTAACTAACTAACTAACTAACTAAATAAATAAATAAATAAATAAATAAATAAATAAATAAATAAATAAATAAATAAATAAGTGGGAATTACTGCCTCTGTGGAAATTATTAGAGTGGAATGTGTAGGTATGTCAAAATGGGGTCTTGCAGGTCTTTGTCCTCTTTCAAAAGCAGATAATACCCTTTTGGCAGCTCTTGAGGCAGTCTGTGAAAAAGAGCAGAAACATCCAGTTCTTTATCTGGACCTCCCTCAGAGTATGCAGAAGGAATGTATGAGGTCTATGCTCCATCCTGACACACTGCTCTACAGCAGCAACAATAACAGCAGGCAGCAACACTTCAGCATACTGAAATGAATACTGACCTTGGTGTCCTGGCAACAAGAACACCTTCCATCTTCCCGCATGTTCTCCCCCTTCAAAAAACAAAAGTCAGTTCTGAGTGAGGGCAAATGTCTGACTTTATGTCATTCAAATGCATGATTTTAGGACATCATCCTATTCATTACATCACTGCCCCCCTCCATATTCATTGACTGAGAATTCCCACCCTGTTCTGCATTACCAAAGGGAAGAAATTATGGGAATTATAGTATAAAGCACTCAGAGAACAAAATATATTCCACACTTACATCATATGAATCATGACTGGCTAGCATCACATCACATCACATCACATCACATCACATAGATAGATAGATAGATAGATAGATAGATAGATAGATAGATAGATAGATAGATAGATAGATAGATAGATAGATAGATAGATAGATAGATAGATAGATAGATAGATAGATAGATAGATAGATA